GGCAACGGCAAAACATTGAAATTGTCTAGAAATGATACAAATACTTGCCTTGAAACTCCAGACACGACTCCCAATGCCAGGTTGAGATACTTGTCTTCATACGAAGACATTCCATCATTACTAGCACTATCAGTTTGCAAAATAAAGCCAAAAACGTCTTCAGAATGCGATTCAAACAAAACTACAACACAATACATTTCAACGCTCATGCGTTCCCGTGCGCGATAATCAGGAAAATTGCTCTAAAAGATTTGTTTTTCTTCCTAAGCCAATCAAAATCCATATCTAGGGTAAACAAACACTCCGGAAGTGATTCCTGCAGTCTTTTACCAGGAAACTGTAATGCTTTACCAAGAATTTGGCGTCCGAAGTTGGCCGAACACTTTCCGATCACGAGAATTGCCATAATAGGCTTAGATTATTTCGCAATATGCCGAGACTGCTCCGAGCTATAGAATGGAAGATGGCGATTCTTTTGGTATATTTGTTATTATTATACGTTGAAAAGAAGCAAAAAGACGAGCATTTGAATCAGGCGGAACATTCAAAATGCAACTGCAAAATTGATGTGTCATTTGCATAAATTTCACCGCATTGATCATTTCAAGGTAAGAAATTCGCTTGAAATTGAGCGAGAAACAATAAAATTATATGAATATTTCTGAATATATAGTATCGATCAAGCTGAATTTTTTGGTGGTATTTTCGTATGTCTACTGCAAATACTCGCGAAGTTCTTTAATATTTAATCTTCCCGTCATATACGTCGGAAATTAATATTGGCGGATCGAATTGAGTTAAAAATAGAAGTCGGAAATCACAAGAAAGATGAACACGGAACACAAGTGAGCAGATACGATTTTTTAAAGGGTATTTTTGAGTAGAAATATGCGATCAAACACTCACAAAATTCGACTGCATTAATGTTGGTTGAATGTAGTTTAAAGTTATCTTTTTAGACGAACTGTTTATGCAAATTTGGGCACAATTTCGACTGTTTTCGTAACCCCATTGTTGGTCTTCTTGTTCAAGTTGTTATTTTAGCTAAAGTATGTTTCAAACGACACCAGATTAAATTACTGTGTGCGTACGTGCCCTATTTGGCAAGAATACTTCGAGTATTAAATTACACTAAGTAAGTAGGGTACTCCAAAATCACTGTTATATCTATTTTCATCAATTTAGTCTTAAAATGACAACTCGTTTCAGACATATTGTGGTTTGAAATAAGTGTATTGAATTAATGCGCTTGCTTGCCGCGTGCGAATTCTCAAAAAGTCCGCACTTGAGATCTAAAGCTTTTAAAATGCTTTTTGTATTGGGTTTTATATCCCCATAAAACTTTAAATCGATAAGGCAGATAGTAATGTTGATCCAACCTCATTTTCTAGTAACTACATGTTGAATCAGATGGAAAAGTTATCAAAATTTGGTTGCGACGGTTGTTTGGCGTTGTTGTCGCTTCTCTCTGAAATGGCTTCCTTTGCGGGAAGCCATGAAACTGAAGTCCCAACAAAAACATAATTTAGCCGTCCTTTCGAGCCCATTGCTCGCTTATTTATCATGAAATCGTTTCACTAGAACATTTTTAAATAATGTCTATGGGAAACTTTGTAGTTTTCTGAACTAAAAGTTTATGGTTTTGAGGTGTTTATTTTATAAAATAGCACGCGCGACAAAATGGCACTAATGTGGTTTCTCATGTCTGACAAACAACCAAAGATGAAAGTCCTTATTTCACCCTTTTATAGCTATGTTGAATACCTGAATATTAGGTTATCTTTTTCATTTGAGCATACAGATAACATTTCTACACAATTAGTCCTAATGAAAGCTTATTTCAAACTAAAAAAAAGCGATTGTTTTTCAGAGCCAGACTTCAAAAGAGAACGCGTGTCTGACATTTTATAGCAGCCTACATTGGCGCGCAAAATAATTTTGGCTAAAAACCGTTTCTTTCCAAACAGAAACATGAGAAAATTGAGCTAAAAGGCTTACCTGATGTATGTTTAAAATGTTTTTCTCTTTATGGTGTTTTTCAGTGCTTTGAGTAGAGAAGTGAATAACTTTTGGTTTTGTCACCGCAATTTGCCTTTGAAAATGTCGGCTGTCATTGTCTGTGTTAAAAACACCTCAGAAAATTCCTATTTTCTCACCTTCCCATCCTTGGTTTATATTGAAAACAAATAGATTCTAGTACCGTATGTCCTTTTAAATATATTTGAGGTAATTAAAAACTCCAAAGATGTACAAGCACTGTGTTGTGGCTTGCACACTTTGTTGAATTTTAACACTTAGTTACTGTTCTAAATTTCATGTTGTAAACATCTTGCCCAAAAAAGCAAAGGAGTATTTTTTATAATTTTTGATCATTTTCTAATTCATATCCCAATAGATGAAAATTGGTTATAATATAGATATGTACTAATTTAGTAAATTTTTTTTTTTTTGTTTTTATATAAATATATGGAGATATTGCCCCTTTAGGTGATGAGTGACATGAAAAAAATAGTGTCACTGGTTTACAAATAAAAATTCTCATTGAAAAAACTAATGATATATATAGGTATGCAAGTTCATTTAAACTAAATTTGGTCAATCATATATTAATAATATTTGGTTGAAAAGACCAGATTTATTCATGCAACTGTTTCTGAGATATTGCCATTTTGGTGAAAGCTCTTGAATTCAGTCACGTATTCGCCATATTGCTTGGACGTTAGGGGGGTAGAAACATTGTAACAGCTTGCGCGTTAATGAGTTAACAACAAAAATGATGACCAAAGACACCGAAAACGGATCAAAATTGTATTTTAAAACACTTAAAATGTAGAAAAATTGGGAATCGACTCGCATTACCTCAATCCCATTCCCATTTTTGAGGACTCATTTCCCATTCCCAGTGGCCAAATCCCAGTCCCAGCAACCCAAATCCCATTTTCCCAGTCTAAAATTAGATCAATCCCAGTTCCCATTTTACCCCTTCAGGACCCTCTTATAAGATATTTTTTACTGTTTTGATACTCAAATTACACACCTAATTACACACCTTTGCCTCCTGCTGTGTTTTTCTACATACCCCTTTTAAGCGGACACCCCTTTTAAGCGGACACTTAGGCGAGGTCCCGAAGGTGTCCGCTTAATAGGGATTCGACTGTAATTAAATAAGTACCAATTATGTTTCTATCAAAAAGATTTAGGAAAAAAGGTAATTAATGTAGATCCACTGCTGTTTATTTGAAGTTGTAAGCCACAAATTGACGTTTGACTATGAGTATTGCATGGTCATTTTCTAGTGAAATATCAGTTCTAGGCATTTCACACTTACCAAGGACCACCCTTAAAACCACCATCTCTGAACCATATAAGCACCTCAGAATAGCCAAAAGCTTTTATGGTTTGGTAGATAGCACTATGGCGAGAGCGTCGTTTTTGGGTGCGGTTGGTTTCAGATGTTTCGTCCCGGATTGGGATTCAGGCAGCGTTACCATGTTGACCGTCATGGTCAACTTGCACTAAAACAGTGGAGATTATCTGTTCTAAATGAAATGCATACAAACTCACATACAGGTCATCGACTATAGGATAAACCTACCTGGGTTACCTAGGGTAATCCGTAATCCAACCGATAGAGTTAGCGTATTTATACAACCCTAGCGTGCATGTATAAAACATGACACACAACCACAAGAAAAAAGGGTATTAATCTGCTTACTAGGGCAATATTCTAACTCTGTGTAAACAAGCCAAAGTTTAGAACCAAAGACAGTTCATAGCGTGCGGTTGAATTCTGTTTACGTGACATTTGTGATAAATTACATGTATTGGTTTTGTTATGCACCTATCAATGTTAAGCCCCAGAGGGGGGAGGGTTGGGCATAAGTGGGGGCATTTGATTTTTTGAGCAAATTTTCAATCAAATGTCCCACCGTTGGGCAATAAATATTGGTCAAATGCCCCACCATTTTGCAATAATGCACGAGTCAATTCCAGGAGTAACCATCCCCCCCCGGAACACACCCAGGCATTTGATTTGATTGGTTATGATAGTGTAAATGGGTGCCGGGACACAACTTGAAGACTAATGCACAGCCCCTGGGCAAGCTGAGAGTGGAAAATGCCCCACCCCGGGGACGATTTTACAGTCGATTTCACGAAACTTTGACCACAAATGTTCCGAACTTCGTTGCGAAGTTTGGAAGCTCATATTGGAATTCACAAGCCAATTTGTAAACAAAGTCCCTGATTGGTCCGTGAAGTAAAAGAAGCCAATCAAATGCGTAGTTTACGATCTGGTTTGTGAATCTCATATTTATGAACTTTTGAACTTCGCAACAATCTTGTGAACTTCGCAACGAAGTTCGGAAAATTTGTGGTCAAAGTTTCGTGAAATCGACTGTAAAAGTTAATTAAACTTTTAATGGCATATAATCATAGTCATTTAATAACATTATAGTATTAAACTGCAATGGAATATTATAAAACATAAACCTTTAATAGTTGTATTTAAATTTGCATGGCACAGGGTATAATTTTCGCTTATTCTTACAATAAATTTCACGCCACCTTGATCAGCGCCCCCACGTGCGTGCCTGAAATTTGTGGGTTGGATTTTGGTCAACCATTTGTCAAATCCCCGGGGTCCTCCAATACCCGGCCCCTGTGCACATATATGAAAGGCAAATTCCCAACCCATGTGAACTGTCTATCGGGCAAATTCCTGGGCGTGTCCCGGGGTGGGGGATGGTTACTCCAGGAATTGACTCATGCATAAATTGCAATAAATACTATATTAATAAAAGTCATTCGGTTCAAATTGCCCCAACTCGGGGCCAAAATGCTGATAAAAATCCCCAGGGTGGGGATGCAATTGATGATCAAATACCCACATATGCCAGACCCCCCCCCCCTATGGGGGTTAACATTGATAGGTGCATTATTGATTTTATTGTTTTAAATGTGTGCGCGAGCAGTTGTGACTTCTTCATAAGAATTTGCCCTTACCGAGGAGGTGGAATATCCATCAACTTCTCTTTAAATTGCTCTTCCAAAGCTTTCACTGCATCATTTTCACTCCAGTTGCCGTGGATCTCAACAGCAGAGGTGACAAATCCTTCGGCATACAACATTTCGCGCGCTTTTCCACGTGGTACTTTTTTATATTCAGGAGAAGGAAGTAAAAAAACGTCTTTCAAGACTATATCCTTCGCAAAACTATAATCTTTCTCCTGCTTGATCTTCCTTTTCCTTTTGGGCCGACTAGCAACACTTCGAAAAGCACTTTCCGACTCGTAAGGTTGTGCAGTCTCGCTGCGGTAACTTTGCCTTGGGCCACATTGTGGGAATAGATGAGCAAGCGCTTGAGTAGTGGACAGTGCTGGAGATGATCTATTGGGTCCCAATTCTTCGTTGTTAGTCACATTGTTTGGTGACGAAGATAGCGAAGTTGTTTGACTGCTTGATGTTGAAGCAAGTGAGGCTAAAATCCCACTTACAGCGGCAGATAATAAATCTCGATTCCCGTCTGCGGCTGCCATGTTGAAATGAAATTTGTAAACATCACGATTGAAAACCAACGTGAAGTTGGCATCGCATTCCTCTTAAATCTACTATTTTGAGAGAGCCTGTTCGCAGGCTTAAATTCGGCCAGATCAATAGGTCAATGAACTCTTTCTGGAACTATTTTTATAACTGCTACTTTTTTATAAGTTTTTGATTACAAAACCATTGTCAAAACCAACCAACCAAGCCGTACCTTTAACGATATAATGTACCTACTGTATTTAATAATATATCAGACATTTAATTATACTACATATTATTCAATATACTAGCCAGAGACGTGCCAAACCACCGTAGGTGTATCGGTCCCCCTCCCGAAAAATCCTTAAAAATGCTCTGATAAAATCTCGAACTTTGCTCCTGGAATTTAAGAATTATAAACAAGTAATTTCTGTCTGAATAAAATCTTAGTATCAAACTAAAGTAGAGGTGACAAAGTAAATTGCAAGAAATGAAATAAAGAATTAAAATCGTGAGAAAACTGAGTCATGTTGTGAGACCGTGAGAAATGTACAAAAATCGTGTGACACTTCAGACAAAGTGATTAAACTTACAAGCAGAATTTGAATATATAAATTAATAGTGTATATTTACAATGTTTAAATTGTAAAATTGCAAGGAGCAACTAGGCATGACTTTGGACAAGATATGGACAATGGACAGTATAATACAGGTTGAAAGGCAGTCAGAACGTTACAGACACATACATAATATCGCCCCTTAGGATTTTAGCCATTTTCCACCAGGCGGAATTTTCCACGCGCAGCCAAATTTCTCTTTGTCACGTGATTTCTCGGGTGGAACTAATTTATAAAAAAGACAAAGAGAAATTCCGCTCCGTGCGAAAAATTCCACCTATTAGTTATAGGAGTAGGACGGGCAACTCGACGACGGCGGCCAAGTTAATGGTAATAAAGATAATTCGTCGTATATTATCAATCGTATGAATTTAATAATTATTCATCAGTATATTGTAATTATTCCATATGTAGTACGTACCTTTAGCGTTAGATATCAGCTTGATAACTTTTGCATGTAAACTTTTATACTTCGGTGTCTCTCCTTTCGTAAATGCTCTCTGTCTTGCTTTTATCAACGCTTTAATATTGGGGGTCATCCACTGTTTGTCTGTACAGTGTGCGCGAACTGTTCTCACGGGTAAGGCTTCATCAAGCATACAGATAACGATAGAGTTAAAGACTGAGACCTTGTCATCCACATCCTATTCGGAATATACTTTCTCCCAGTCTTCAAGATTCATTTTCAGTCCCAGAACGTTTAAGTTCTCTGGTTTCATTTATCCATATTTCTTTGAAACGGGTGGCATCTTCTGTCTTGTTTTGGGTGGTATCTTCTGTCTTGTTTTGGGTGGTAAGATCAAACATTGGTGATCGGAACGTCCGATAGGTGGAATGTGAAGAACTTTGTCATACAAATCCGACATATTGGTAAGTATCTGGTCCAAAATGTTTTTTCCTCTCTTGGGCGACTTGACCTGTTTGAGTAGATTGAAACGGCGACACAAAGGGTTCAAGTCCAAACTTGTTGAAGTCCCCAGTTAGAAATATGCCGGCAGAAGGGCGCTCAGATAAAGCAATGTCCATCTTTTGAGTTAGGTAGTCCAACATCTCATGTTCATTCTCTTTACTTTGACCTGGAGGGTGGTATACGCCTACTACAATGACGGAACTGTAGGGTCTCGGTGTTCTGGGTGGTTTTAATAATAGCCAGAGTGCTTCTTTTCCTTCCTCTTCTAGTTCAGAAAGGCGTTTAGCAGGTAGGTCAGATTTAATGTATGCCAAAATATCACCACCTGGCGTAGGTCTATCGAGTCGATATGCATTGTAAGTATTTCCTATGTTAATAATAGAATCCGGAATATCAGACGATAACCAGGATTCTGTAACCAAAATTACAGAGGGATTGTTTATCGCAACCACTGCAGACAGTTCGTCCACCTTGTTTGCTATGTGGCAGGCATTGGTAACAAAGAGAGATGGAACAGCGCAATAGTCTTGGTGATTTTCCAGGTAACTAGTAGTTACAGGGACATTTACCAGGTTGCATGGATTACTAGTTTGTTTACATATATTATTGTAACTTGCAATATTTCTGAAATTTGTTAAAGAACGTGGGAAAGATAGGCAACAGCCTATCTGGATGTCTATCCCTATAGCTACATTCTCGGTTGGAATATTTATAAAATTTTGTCTCCCCACATGATAGCCTATGCGAGATGTCATTTGCACCGGTCCGACAGGCATGTCCGACAATGATCGTTACCCTATTGTTTGGCGAACATATCTTTTGTATCTTTTCCATTCGTTTATGGTAGGTTTCAATCTCAGGTCGGTTTCGTTCACAGTACATTCCGTTCCCGCTTGGAGATTGGCTCGGAAATGATATTTTTAGTTCGCTAGCCTTTGCCGTTGCGTTGCCGTCTGATAAATCTTAAGGTCTCTAACAACAACGAACGACACAATTAGAAGAGGTTATGAGGCAGAGCAGGAAGAAAGGATTTTGAAGTCGTCAATGTTAGCTAAGTGTCAGAGCTGTTTATGTGAGAGAAAATACTCGATAGATACTGATAGTCTGATAGAGGTTTATTTTTCCGTAATAGGAGAGACACTTGTAGTCCAGTCAATCTGTGACCAGAGGTCAAAGAAATTGCAATAGAATTTTTTTCAGCGGTAAAATGTGAGGGAAAGTGTCCTGATTAACATACTAAAAATAAAAAAAAATCCCTTCGGGGGAACATGGTGAAAATCGAGTTTTTCTTACTTTTACCTATACTTAAAACCATTGTGGACAGAATGTTGAAATTTTGAAATCATTTTTAGGCAAATGTAACCTACATTATTGGAAAGCTTAGAAAAAACTAAAATATAGATCATTAAACGGTTATATTCAATTTACTGGTCGGTTTGTCGTTATTCTAGCTCAAAGTTGGAAAAATAGTGCAAAATTTGCACAAAATACAAATTTATGGCATTTTAAATATAATATAACTTTGGCTGGATAGGCATTAATGATTTATATTTTAGATTTTTCTAAGCTTTCCAATAATGTAGGTTATATTTGCCTAAAAATGATTTCAAAATTTCAATATTCTCTCCACAATGGTTTTCTATAGGTAGAAGTAAGAAAAACTCGATTTTCACCATGTTCCACTGAAGGGAGTTTTTGGGATTTTTAGTATGAACAACTTTTCTCACACTTTACCACTGAAAACAAATCTATTGCAATTACTTTGATCAGGACCATGTACTTATAGTGATTTGACTGGACTATTGGGTGTTCTGAGGTTGTAGTGTATAAATAGTTTGACTCACATAGGACGCAGAACATCATCGACAAACAGGGCCATCCCCAGGAAATGTTTCAGGGGGGGGGGTGTAAAGTAATTTTAGCCGACTGACAAACAAGCTTGCACCGACCACCTGCTAGCCATGGAAGCTTGTGGAATTTCCGATGGAGGTCAACTACGGAGCCATTTTTGGATTAAGGGGGCTATAGCGAACGTCGAAGGTGTGAGTTTGCCAGAGTCTCCCCCGGGAGATTCTGAAATCTGAGACCTCCCAGAGCCCCGGAAATGCAATCAAATGCACTAGTTTCTCTTTGTCTTTTCTAATTAGTTCCACCCGAGAAAGAAATTCGCTTCGTGCGAAAAAATTCGCAAGTGGAAAAGCCGGTTTTCCAGTAGCGAATGAAAAGGTCGCTTCGTGGGAAAAAAATTGCTGGCGTGGTGGTTTAGGCGCCGCTTTCGAACCGTGGCTCTCGACACGGTTTTATTTTCAAATTTCACATTTTTCTTCAACTTATTTTGAGGCTGATTTTAAGGTTAGGTCTTAGGATTAGTATTTCGAATCTGTAAACTAGTATTTCGATTTTGTGGTTTGATAGTTTTATACTCTTTATAGATACATGTTATGGATAGTTTGAATACCAGGGTACTTGTAAGGTAGGGATTGCTGCGGGCATTGAAAGCAAATAGAGCTACAGTAAATACCACCGATTATATCAAGCACATTTTTTTCAAAATGTGTTTCGGAAATTTTTGCATTTTCGTCTCCTCTCATGCATGTTGACAGCAATTTTTGGAAATATTCAAGGGAAGACAATTTCACGAACGTTGGCGTGGGGATTTTTTTACCCCATGATACGTATTGGTAAAGTTTGTTTCAGGTTTGCCTTTTAAAGTCAAATGGAAAATATCATGCGCAGAGCACAGTGTAATTCTGTAATCTTATACGTGCAGAGTTTTGACATCACACACTATGTAAACGTAAACAAATATTATATGTACGGACTCCACTATAAATATAATACTTTCATAATAAATTACGGCCAAGAAGTATTACGCGTGGACCATATATTTAGAAGTCTTACGGACCACATTTAGAAGTCTTACGGACCACATTTATAAGTCTTACGGACCACATTTATAAGTCTTACGGACCGCGTTTAGAAGTCTTACGGACCAAATTTATAAGTCTTACGGACCACATTTATAAGTCTTACGGACCACATTTAGAAGTCTTACGGACCGCATTTAGAAGTCTTACGGACCACATTTAGAAGTCTTACGGACCGCATTTAGAAGTCTTACGGACCGCATTTAGAAGTCTTACGGACCGTATTTAAAAGTCTTACGGACCAAATTTATAAGTCTTACGGACCACATTTAGAAGTCTTACGGACCGCATTTATAAGTCTTACGGACCGCATTTAGAAGTCATACGGGCAAGGTTTAACGTTTCCGGGAAATGTTTTCAAGTATTACGGGGATATTTCTAAGTATTGTGAACAGTCAGTACAGTAGCCGATTTACACGCGAAGCATGATGTTTTATACACGTGTATTCAAGCCTTGCAAGAATGCAGATAAGATGTACGCACGAGAGAAGTTTTACGTATATAATCCTAAAGTAATTTTGTCCAGTATGGCGTTCCATACCTTGGACAGTGTATATTTACACCTTTGGACCCTGTAAATAAACACCTTTTGAGGGTGTTCCCATCCTAAGCCAAATTAAGAACAATTATCAAGGTATTTGCATGATAAAATATATTTAAAACTGCTCTCCATATACATGTAATGCATGGTTCTTGCTTTTACCAAGTAAACCCAGGGATTTTCAATGTCCCCCTCCTCCCGTAGAATTCACTTGAAGTGACTGGGGCAAGGTAGCTATAAGTATAAGTGGTTATATTAATTTAATTAAAGTCAATTAAAATTTACAAATTGAGATTTTTGAATATAGACCATTGCAAATTTTTTAAAAATTTGTTTAACCCTTTATAGTGGCAATGTCCCTACTTTAGTATAATACTCCGTCTGGTGCCAGACAATTTTACTCAAGGGCAGAATGTAGACTTACCACAAGTCGACCTCGAACGAAACGTTGGCTCACACTCGCTGCTTGCATTTCGTTTGAGGTCGACTTGTGGCAAGTCTAGGCAGAATGCTGCCACTCAATGAGTTAATATATTCTCAGAACAATTACCATCAAATTTAATCTATTTTGCTGGCAAAATTGCGTTGGAGGGGGTCCTTGATTTGTTGAGTTTTTTTTTTTTGGGGGGGGGTGAGTGTTGTAAAAAACAGAATAGCAACTGGTTTCAGAATAGGAAGAATTGTTGTAATATAGGTAATATAATTCTAAGACAAATCATCCAAAGGAAGCAATCATTCTAGCTCTTGTAGTGTATGTTGCAACAGGGATGGATTTACTGGGGGGCTGGGGCTGTGCACTCCCCTAGCCCTGGCCAGAGGGGGTGCAGGGGGGTTCTATTTTTCATGATAAAGCAAAAAATTATTACAGGCAAAATGAGATACAGTAATTTGAGTAATAACATGATGATAAGCGAGCTGTGAACAACAATTACAATTCAAATACAGTAGTAAAGCAAGACTTTGCAGTAGTGAAGCAAGTTGATGGGCGGGCGACACACATGACCGACACAACTCGGCACCAGAGCTGGCAGAGCACCCCCCCCCCCACCAGATCATGCTGGATCCATCCCTGTGTTGCAAAATGTATTTTCTTCATAGTCAGGCATTCACATGAATGAAGATTAGAATTGCATCATGTTATATAGTCTTAAATATTTAGGAGGGTCTCCATTATTAAATTAAGAGATTAAAAAGGGGTCCCATGACATTTTGACATAAGAATCTCCCACTTCTAACTGGTTGGGCACCTTGCCCCTTTTGTGATGGAGAAGCTATATTCCCCACCTTTATCCCCTGAGACAAAAAATTCAAAACAACTCTCCACCCTGATAATGTGCAGATGGTAAGAGCAAGAATTGAAGCAAGCAAGCTTTACTGGAGTACATACTATTATTAGGAAGCATCAATTCGCACATGCTAATTTGCCAGTCATGATTTTAAACGTAATATTTCTTATCTCGTATAGAATTCTTAAGGTCTTGTTTACATTTTGCTGGAAGCAAACTAAGATGCACATCCAATATTTGGGTCATATCACTTGTATGTCAGTTTTGCAGCTTGCCAGCTTCAACAACATTTGGATGCAAGGAAAACGTAAACAAGGAAAGAGCATATAACACTTCATCTATGTTTAAATATCAATGAATAAATATTCCAACCATTGGCACTTTATAATATAAGTGACATTAATATAAGTGACATATACAGTATATGAAAAAGCATTTCTTTGAATCACTGTATAAAATATTCCTCATAAACTCGCTCCAATCGTCGCACAGCTGAGTCTTTGGAAGGGTAAAACCAAGTTTAACATCCCCAGTTCGAAACACTTTCCGTGTCCTCTTAGAAAAGCCTGTCCAGCTGGAGAACATCTGTCGTAATACTATTATATTTTGGCTGTTAATTTTGTTTAGCGAACGTCCGAACGAACGATATTTACCAAACCCAGTTGGAAGAACAGCAACTGAATAGTTCCCATGTAATAAAAGCTGAAGAATCTGATTTCGGGTACGTCGGTAGCAAAAAGAAGGAAAAATTTCAAAGACTAAACGCATTTTTAAGCCGCTCTAAGCACTTAAATTTTGTGGACACTCTTAGGTTGGCGGCCATCTTGGATTTTCTAATCATTATTATTATAATTTATTACACCCACTATATCTGGGTGTTGAAAGTCATGTGACCGGCCGGTGCCAGGGCCTTTTCCCGCCTTCCCAGTGACAAAAAGGGAAAAGCCCTGGGAACGAGGTTGTACTGAGCCTATTGTGGGAGAGACCTAGCCTGCGAGCAGGCTCTCTGGGGAAAGAGAGCCTGCAAGGATCCCTTTGATGATTCGGTGCATGCGTCCAATATTTGGACGCAGTGCTCTGATTGGTTGATAACTGATTCATATGAAGTGATTGACAAGCTTTCATAAACTTGCACTTCCCGTTTGTAAAACCGAGCAACGCAAAGCTTCGGAATTGCGGCAATGTAGAGATAAAAGTGTCATGTATTTTGATCCTGGTTGACTTTTTACTGTAAATTAATATAGTATTCATATAAAGACGAATACTAAAAGCTTGCATGCTTTATTGTGTCCTTGGCTTGTCTGACTCCTAAGCTAAGAATAATTCTTGAGAAAGACTGCACAAATTCGCAAACCGAAACCTAGGGACAAGGCATTATATCGCTTCTCTTTTATGAAACAATATTGGGAATTCTGATAATATTCAGTGCATATTGTGTGTATTAAGCTTGTTTTACAATGTTATACTGACTATTTAATATTTATAAGTATGCGGCGTTAAAATGTACAGTAATTTACTCGTCACTTTGTTTACAATAATTATCACATGCATGTTTACTGCAATTCCACTTTTTGTTGCAAAATTTGAACTATAAACATATTATTAAATTATGTCCAATGTCCATGGTATATCATATATGTCTATGTCTCACCAAAGCCATAAATTTCAGTAAGTTATATTATTACTATATATAGACTGTATACAGTGTATATTATATATTGCAGCACGAAGCAATTCCAAATAACTGAATTAGTTAGCGGGTAATATACAACTTTAAACTTACTGTGCCTACAGGAGAAACACATGCAGATTGTAATAAAAAGTACAACTTGATATATTACCCTGTAAAACCTCGAGCCGTTTTAACTTTTTTAGTATGCCACAGTGGCGGTCTGTATACGAAACTATTAACGAATTTGAAACGAATCGGTTTATGTTTACAATATCGTAGTGTATTCCGGTCTGCGCTGATTGGTTGTTATTAATTGACCTGTGACATCATAATTGAAGGGTGGCACGCAATCATCATAGGGATCCTTGCAGGCTCTCTTTCCCCAGAGAGCCTGCTCGCAGGCTAGGAGAGACCCGGCAGAGGGTAACTCGATCTGCCCCTGCACTTAGCATCAGGTCAGGAGTGTCGAACAGGTCCACTATTGTCAGAACTAAACTCGAACTAGAGTTGAAGCATTTAAAGGAAAAACAGAGACTAGATCAAGAACAGAGAGAGTTACACTTAGAAACGCAAAGACACGAAATGGAACAACAGAAGAAGCTAGCTGAGCTGGAAGAAAGGCGCAGATTGCATGAATTAGGGGTAAGATTGGCAGAAGCACAAATGCAAGAACAGCTAGAACATGATGAGGATGATCCAGATTCAAGGTCAAATAGAGGTGATGATTATCCAGAAAGATTGGATCACTTGGAGGAACAGGTTGATCATCCTATAGCTGCTAGTGGTGTGAACAACAACATTGAAACCTCTACGAGAGACACCACAGATATCCCAAGAGTCACATTAGCTAATCAAACAAGTTTGGAGACCCACAATTCACCATCAGCACAGTTACCAGAGACTACCCGAAATGGCGAGATTCCACCACAGCCGAGTCGAATGCAACCATTTCCAAACCACCCCCAGTGTAGTCCACCATATGCAAGAAGACCGCCACGGGACGGTGACCAGCAACCGTCATCCCATGATCGCCTACCATTGGAACCAAACCCACAATCAGGGCAATCACTTGGTTGTTATCGTGAACAATCACTCAATATACAAGGGCGGCAACCCCCCGTGCTTGTTCCCCGGTATCTCAGTGGTCAACACAACCCACAACATTTGGGGACCTATATCACCAATAATGTATCATTACCAGAACCCGATACCACTGCCCAGCAGATATTTGAGCATC